GGCTGGTGACACAAAATAAACCGTTGCGCTTTTCTAAGCGTTTAAAATTGATGACTATATTGTATGGCGGAATACCATAACAAGTGCTTTTGAGCACTTCGACTTGGCGCAATAATATCTTCACTCGTGAAAAGTCCCGGCTCCCGCTTCCTCTCCCCCTCCCTCTCATTTCCGTCAATACAACCAACGTGACATGCGCCGGTAGTAGTAGTTTGAGCGGAGTTGACGAAGTAACAGGTTGTTGGAAGCTAGTTTGTATACAATCATGGTTAAAACGTGCATCGTAAAGGGTTGTGAAAATAAGGAGAATGTACATAGTGCTGTCATTTTTCACCGAATTCCAACACACCACATACAGCGGAAAGCTTGGTTAGCTGCTTTCGGGAAAGCTCCGGTCTGTTCTGGATCATATCTTTCCCTCTCACGGTCCATAAGAGCTAATTCCTCCTCTGTGTACTCGGGTTCAAACAGATATGGCTCTGGGTCTTCTACAAAGAAGTCATAATCATCTACAAAGTCCGCCATTGCAAATGATCTGCAGTTTGCTAATAGCACAGCACAGGTAGTAAAAGTCACGTTGGTTGTATTGACGGAAATGTAAGAGGGAGGGGGAGAGGAAGCGGGAGCCGGGACTTTTCACGAGTGAAGATATTATTGCGCCAAGTCGAAGTGCTCAAAAGCACTTGTTATGGTATTCCGCCATACAATATAGTCATCAATTTTAAACGCTTAGAAAAGCGCAACGGTTTATTTTGTGTCACCAGCCCAGGTCAAGTTACACTACTCGAGTAACTGTGTTTACATAGGGAAAACGTGGAAGTGTTTGGTCGCTTCTCTGCTTGGCCCATATTTAATGCATGGGCTAAGCTAAGTGCTAACATAGTTTTGCGGCAATACAGAGCGATATAGTGCACGCACTGAGACGAGAGAGGTATGTATCAACTCGTCTTAGTTAAGGGAATAACATAGTTTAATAAGAAAAACTGGTGGAGTATCCCTTTAACTATGTCAAGTAAATGTGTCATTACCATCACATCATCGAATATATGTAAAAAATAAAACTTAAATGATAAATCAGTGCTTTTGAAACATTTTGTGGTTTCACATGGAATCTATTTTATCTTGAACTTAATGGGGTTGTTGATTTTTACTTGCAAGATGAATTATAGTCATTTAAGTATCTACATTTCTGATTCACCAATCTACCCTGGCTTGGAATATAAGCCTATTTTAAGTGAATGCCATATATCAAAACTTTTTTAATACAGTGATCATTTAGACTGTCAAACATTGTCAGAAATATATAATTGTAGTTCTTTATTATGCACATAATTGAATCATTATGTTCTTTCTCATTGTTTTGTATGATATTCCAAGTTCTTTATGTGCCGCATACACTAACCGGTACTTTTTCAAAATGTTTCCAGCAATGACCTTTGATATGATTTGTTTTCCTTTAATTTTCTTTTGATGGTAGGTTTGTCGCAGCTGTGAGACTAATGTGTTGTGGAACACAAGAGTCTTCCTGAGATTACCATGTCCTCCCCTCAACTGTTTTCTTGCTTTAGTTCTTGGGGACTGCTCAGTGGTATGCTTCTTAGTCAGCCTATATCTAAACTTTTCCTATACATATAAAACCTTTTGCAAGGCATTTTCCAGCTTTTTTTTTAGACTTTTGAAGATCATAGTAGACCTTTCTTCTGTTTCTATTGACTTTTTTGCATCCACTTTGCTTTGGGGTTTGGACAGAATCTGCCATACCTCCTCTTTCATTCCTTGCATTTGGCACATCCCTATTCTGGTTCTCTTGGAGATCAGGAGATTCTGGAGGACTAATCATTGAAAGATAAGTTTCTATTTCTCCCTTTTCTCTGTCCTTAGCTCTCTTCCTTTGTTGATTAACTTTCCATCATTTTTTTTCATATCTGTGTTCTCGCGTGCTCAATAGGGAAACAGATTTCAATTTTCCTGTTTCTCTTCTTCTGCGATATCTCTCTTTCTCACTCTGCAGATACTGTGCATATTTCTCAGGATTATCTTTTAAACGTTGTCTGTATGATTTGGACCTTTGGGCAGCTGCTTTTGGAGCCATGTCACACCTAAACAAAACAATTATAATTAATTAATTTAGTATTTTAAAAACAAATGTTTTACTTAATTTAAAATATTGACTTTTGATTGGAAAATGTATATTAATTCATTTAAGATAACATATTCAACATAAATCCTTTAAAGAACTGTTTAATGTATCTGCCGTCATCATCATCACAACCTGTCATTACCAGCACAAGCTGTAATGTGCTGGTAATGACTGTGCTGGTAATGACATTGTTGTCAAAAAACTAGCCTTGCTAGCAAAGATGATGACTAAGCACGTGTAGCTAGCTTTCTACATGTAATGTACACCATTTTAACTAGTAAAGTTTAAAAATAATCCAAAAATGTTTAAAAATACAGAAATACAACACATATGGTAATGACGCATAATAAGTGTACATGCCCAACACAAAGAATAAAGAGTAGATTTACTTACTTTTCTGGACATCAAGGCATCAGTCTTGCAGCTTGAAATCCATGTGCTCTACTATGATATTAGGTTACCATGGCTACCAAATAAACTTTTGATGAAAAAAACAGTTAAAAAGTGCCTTTATGCAGAGCGTGTTGGTAATGACAGCTAAACCATGGGACAGGTAGATATTAAGCAAAATAAAGTACAAAATGCATATATATGCTTAATCTGTGCATGTCGTTTATTAGTTCAGGTAACATTTAATTCATATGCATATTTTTTTTAAAAATTAATTTGTGATAAATAATGTTTGGACAACATGGACAATGTTGGACAACACCAAAACACAGATATTGTACCACAAAACACCAATAAATTGTGTTAAAATCATTAGTAAGAGCAGCCATAAAAAAGTCTAGGCTTAATTGTTTTTGTTTATACTAATGAGTGGTGCTAAAATGTATTCGATTTAATTAGTTTTTAATAGAATTACGCCCTGTGGACAGAAATAGGCCAGAATTCAGAGAAATACCCTGTTATATTGTAATGTTATGTGCTTTGTCATGAGGTAATTTATTTACTCACCCTCAAGTCATCCTTAGACAAACACAATTAAAAAAATATCCTGGCTCTTTCAAGCTTTATGGGAATAGTAACTGAGATTTTGAAGCACATCCATCCATCAGAAAAGTAATCAATAAGGCTACAGTGGGTTTATTAAGGCCTTCATGGAGCGAAGCGTGTTTTTTTGTAAGAAAAATATACATATTTATAACTTTTTAAACAAGAAAGGGACTTTGGCCTCGCTATCACCTGTCATGGCGCTGCTCTGAATAAGTTCTAAATAAAGCTTTTTAAAGATTTTAAAATTACTAAGTTGTTTTCTTCGTTGTCGACTAAACTCCGTATTCCGAATTTTCGATTTTTTTCTTTCAGCAGTGGTCGAGCTTTTATTGATTTATTTATTCATTCATTCACTTAGGCCCATTTATTTTCCAATATATATTTTCAAATAGCTTATTCTTCAGCGGAAAAGTGAATAGTATCAAAGTCCCTAGATAGTGTGACTGTCTTGCTTGCTTCAGGCGATTGGATGTTCGCCTGAAACGTCACACATTGTGAACAACCAACCAACTTTGGAACAACTCACGAAACCACCTGACGGAGAACGTTTATAGGGAGCTTTGCAAAACATTGAATCCGATCTAAATCGTGTGGATTTGTCATCTCGAAAGCAACTCTAAACACCCTAAAACACAAAGAGTTTGTTCAGCTTTCTTTGTTAGACTGGTGGTCTCTGCTTTGCTGGATTATCCCCGGTCTTATATGTTTTGCGTGTGTTACCATAGGAACCGCTTTGCTGCTTTTGCGTTTGTAACGTGAGTAAACCTTTGACGACCAAAATACCAGTTTTCTTGGTTTATGGCAAAAAAGTAAAGTGTTTTTATTTTGCAGGAATGATGGCCAGCGGATCAAAATATAAGGAGTCCAGAGTCACTAACTACAGAACAGAGACACGACAGTTAATACAATGTGTGTGTGTGTGTGTGTATGTGTGTGTGTGTGTGTGTGTGTGTGTGTGTGTGTGTGTGTCTATGAGTGTACGAGCTAGTGTACTGTGGGTTTTTCTATGCCTGTGGGGACTTTAACCTGAATGCTCATGGGGACTCATGGACCTAAATTGAGGTCCCCATGAGGAAACAAGCTTATAAAATACACAGAATGTTTTTTCTTTTTCTTCATGTAAAAAGGCAGAACGTTTTCTGTGATAGGTAGGGTTAGTGTAAGGGGATAGAATATTCAGTTTGTACAGTATAAAACCATTACGCCTATGGAGAGTCCCCATAAACCATATATTCGTGTGTGTGTGTGTGTGTGTGTGTGTGTGTGTGTGTGTGTGTGTGTGTGTGTGTGCGCGCGAGCGTGTTCCAACAATCATGCATATCTTGTTTTTATCTTTTCTTTGGCTCCATCTGTGGGTTTGTTTTGTTTCATTGTAGTAATGATGCAAAAGTCTGGTCTAACGGACTTTCAACAGAAACAAATCAATAATCAGCTGAAAAGTGAGTTCAGGTGACAGATTTTATAATATCCTACTACAACTGTCCTGGCAATTTTATGCCCATTAACACTGTCTTTTTGTGTTTGTTTGATCAGATGGGGGCGCTCTTTCACTAACGTTTACCCCAGTTGAGCAGAAAAAAGTGCAGTCAGAGCCCAGAGTCTCCAGAGTGACCTCACTGATGGGTCACCAGCTGAGGCGCAGTGCAGAAAGATGTAGTGCTGGAGATAATTACAAACGTGAAAAGTTTCAGCCTAGTGCAACACGTGAGTGCAAAAAAATAAACATTTCCCTATACTATATTCTTTATCACCCAATTCTTCCTCTTCCTCACTGCTGCTATTTTTTCCCCCATTACATTTACATTACATTTATTCATTTAGCAGACGCGTTTATCCAAAGCGACTTACAAATGAGAACAATAGAAGCAGTGAAACTAACAATAGGACAACAATATGCAAGTGGTATGACCCCTCCCAGTTTAATCTAACTTAGTACATGTACTTTTTTTTCTTTTTTTTAAGATAATATTGAATAGAAGATAGAATAGAAGAATAGAAGTGTTGGTATCAATTGGATTAGGTGTTGCCGAAAAAGATGCGTCTTCAGCCGTTTCTTGAAAATGGCCACGGACTCAGCAGCTCTGATTGAGTTTGGCAGATCATAGAGCAGAGCAGAGCCAGTGGTTGTTCTGTAGGCAAATGTCAGTGTCTTGAATTTGATGCGAGCGGCAACTGGCAACCAGTGCAGTTTTGTGAGGAGAGGAGTGACGTGTGCTCTCTTCGGCTCGTTAAAGACCACTCTAGCTGCAGCATTTTGGATCGGTTGCAGAGGTTTGATAGTGCAAGCTGGAAGACCTGCCAGAAGAGCATTATGTAACCCTACGGTGGTAGTTCTGCTTATAGGCAGGCTAAGGACCTATTGTAGGAGTTATCTAAATCTAGATTCGATGAGGAGGTTGGTTATGTACTAATCATAATGGTCAAAAGACTCATAGATTCCACTCCAAAGGAAGCACAGGACAATAGATTAAAGGTTGAATGTAGTTCTTATTCAAATTATTTTTCTTATTCAAAATTCAATATTTAGTTCAGTTCACACAGCATTAGTACCATTGATGTTAACAAATCAGCCACAACTTTTGAGATCTCATGAAACAAAAACAAAAGGGAAAATCTTTCAAAGAAAAATGAGTTACCCTTGAGTGCACTCAAATATTTTAACTGTCCAACCACCCCTTCAATACTTAGCGTCCATATCAAACCACCCAATGTAACCGTTGCAGCGCTGTTAGTTGAGGCAGTGGACCAGGGAACCAGGCACCAGGGTGAACAGACAGGAATCCAGCTTCGGTGGAAAGAACACTAGGGATCCGGGACCAGAAGAAGCCTAAAAAAAAAGTCTACACTAAAAAATGTGCAGAAAATTAACTAATGTTCAACTAAATGTCCTTTTTCCATCTTTTCATCATTTAAAAGTCCATATGTTCAATAATACAACTTAAAATAAAAATCAATAAAATGGAATTGGACAAACAAAAGTACAATATAGCATAGTAACTCAAAATTGACATACTTGACTCAAAACAAAATTATTTCCTTTCAAAATGCATTTTTCATTGTACCAAAATTAGAAACAAAAATGTACCTGTGGGGTAACATCCACTGCTGTAGATAGCCAGACTGTTTTTTTTTTAAATCCACTGTAACATTGAAATGTAAACCTTTTTAGTAATTTCACCATTTTAGTTTCAAGCTAATCACCACAAAATGATAGTTTTCACTCACCGAGATAACTTTGTTTTACAACAGGTGTCGTCTAATTTTCAGTGTAGTTCAACCTCGAGGATATATTTCGTTTTCTAAATCAATTTCAACCTTAATATTTACTTCTGCTCTAGCTCCCGTTTTTCCAGGCTTTTTTCATAGGTATAAACACTAGATGTCGCCTTGGGGTTCTAAACATGCGTCAAAACCACCGCCATCTTGGAACAGGGGTCTTGTCATAGGAAGTAGCTAGGTAACGCTGAATTCATGGATGATGCCGGACTTTTGTGCTGCGTATGGATGTTTACACGAACGAAATCTAAAAACCAGACAGCAAGGGATTACATTTCACATTACATTTCAAAGATTGTGAAATTTTGTAATTTTTTAAAAATTTCTCTGGACTCTATAATAAATACATGTCTGACCGTTGGAACGAACCCAAAACAACTAGAAAATCGCATTCATGATGATTTATGGTGATTTTATTTCCGTTAGACCTTTTCCTACATTGACGCTGATGAGGGGTTACCGTTTCAAGATGGCGGCTCTATTGACGCATTCGTTCCAATGAACTGCCGTAGCCAAGGCGAGATCTAGTGTTTATATCTATGGGCTTTTTTAAGGCAAGGCGAATGCCAGAAAACAGCAGAAGAAGAACGTTTCATTGTGCACTGCCACCTAGTGGCGAACTAGATATTGCACTTTACTCTAATTTTAAGTGTTTGCATTAAAGGTCATTTCAGGACTTTATTGGGGCAAAATTGACAGGGTTACAATTACAATAGTCCATAGGATAGGATAGAACAAGTGCTTGGACAAGGAGTTGTGTAGCATGCTCTGATAGGAAGGGACTGATCCTCCTAATGTTGTACAAGGCAAATCGGACCGGGCAGTTCTAGCAATGTGGTCTGTAAAGTTCAATTGATCATCAATCTCAACTCCAAGGTTCCTGGCTGACCTTAATGGAGTTATGGATGACGAACTTAGCTGAATGGAGAAGTTGTGGTGTAGTGTAGTGTTGGGTTGGCCGGGACCACAAGCAGCTCTGTTTTCGCAAGGTTTAGTTTAAAGTGGTGGTCCTTCATCCAGCCAGAAATGTCTGTCAGGCAGGCTGAGATGCGAGCAGCTACCGTCGGATCATCAGGCTGGAATGAGAGGTAGAGTTGTGTGTCATCAGCGTAGCAGTGATAGGAAAAGGCATGTTTCTGAATCACAGATCCTAGTGATGTCATGTAGATGGAGAAGAGAAGTGGTCCAAGCTAAGAGTATAGAAGTACCAAGAGGCGAAACTCCGTTGCAGTTTTGACAACAATCGCTAGATGGCGCTGCTGTCGCCATTTTGGACCGAACCAACGGCTTTACCGTTAGCACAACTATACAGCATTAACATTATGTCTGGAAATAAAAAAAAATAAAAAAAATTAGTGGCATGGAGGTGTACAACAATGAGTGCAGGGAAATTGTGTGTGACAAGGAAAAGTGCAAAAACACTCTTGTATGGTGAAACTATTCAATAGAGTCAGAATCCATCATATATTACGGACCCAAAATCGACAACTCTCACAGCCCAAACAGAAGCGCAACAGAACTTTTTTAAAGCGAAGTCATCTATAAATCTGTACATTAACTCTTTCTGTATCAAATGTAACGTGTTGTACAAAGTTTTTATCAGTCAAGATGAATTAAATTATAATAAAACTAAAGACTAAAACATATAGAACAGCTAATATACTTACCATTGTCATTCTATTTGTAGTAAATGTGTTCACTTTACTTGCACAATGTTTGATTTGTTGTGTGTAATGGAGTGTTGTCCCTTTCACCTACTCACCGTTCATTGTGTTTTGGCTTATTCAAGGAATTTGTCAATCATTTCATGAGGAACATGGGCTGTTGTTACTGGTGTTGTAAAATTGTGCTGTGTATGAAAACGGGAGTTATCCCCAAAAGTTATTGGGGTAAATAAATAGCCTATTTGACAGCTTCATGCTCTATGACGAAATCGTTTAATTATAAACCGATCCATAAGCATTATTTTGTTGTACATTATTCGACACGCTGTTTTAGTTTAGGCTATAGATTAGGCTATAGGGCGGCAGTGGCTCAGTGGTTCATGTAGGTTGTCTACAAACCAGAAGGTTGGTGGTTCAATCCCCGGTTCCACCTGACCAAGTGTCGAGGTGTCCCTGAGCAAGACACCTAACCCCAGCTGCTCCCGACGAGCCTTGCATGGCTGACACTGCCATCGGTGTATGAATGGGTGAATGTGAGGCAAAATGTAAAGCGCTTTGGTGGCCATTGGGTCTGTGAAAGCGCTATATAAATGCAGTCCATTTACCATTTATAGAGATATTAAAAACTAGAAACTACTATTTAGTTCCCTTAACCACTTTTGAATTGGAACCGGTATCGTTCAATTCTATGACAGCTGAGTTGCATTCAGTCCAAGATGGCGGAGCTGCAGCTCTGCGCATAGGTGCTTTTGTTGCAATGGAACATTCTATTAAGTTTCGCCTCTTGATACTTCTATACTCTTTGCTCCAAGCACTGAGCCCTGAGGAACCCCAGTAGCTAGATGTTGGGTCTTAGACACCTCACCCCTCCACGACACCCTAAAGGACCTACCTGAGAGGTAAGACTTGAACCAATTGGAGTGCGGTTCCCGAGATGCCCTGCTTCGTCTTTAGGATTGACAGAAGGATTAGATTCATTAAATTCCATTAGATTCTCAAATGCATTTCATTGCATGTATGCAGCACTGTGCTCTACACTACTCATGTAAACACACATTTGCATTGAACTGAACTTCACTGTCACGTATTATTTCAATGTAAGTTAATACAGAAATCATAACTCATCTTTAAACAACTTGATATAGTGTACTACTTTACCAGTGTGCTTCTGGTAAAGTGGGGTAGAAGGGGAAAAAATCTATTCATTCATTCACCTTCATCAGGCTTCCATAAAGCCACAGCATTTCTGTGAGACAAACTTAGGAGCCCAAAATAATTAACCCTTTAAGCCCTGAAGGCATTTTTATTTTTTTCTGAATGACATAAACTTTTAAAATAAAACATAAAGAACTCCAAAACGATAGCAAGGAGAGTCAAAAGGTAAGTATTGTTTGATAGAAAACGTAAAAAAAAAAAAAAAAAAAAAAAAAATCATTACATTTGGAAATTCATGCTTAGAAACTGCTGATAAAATATTTTAAAAATGGGCTCAAGGACCAAGGTAGCCTTTTTGTTTAGCCCTTGACACCCTGAAGGCATTTTTTAAATTGTTGTTCCTCCATTGTATCTCGTGATCAACACAATGTATTATGTTGATTTTGGACTCATTTCAATCGGGAACATCCATACTATTATCTGTGCATGTTCCATAAAATTACAAGCGTAAATGCCACGTGAAAGCTACGTTTTATTTTACTTAGCTACATGTGTGCCTGTGGGGTTTTATGTTATAACTTTCTATAACTATCTTTAGATCTAAGTGACTAGATCTATGATGAGTTCTTTTAAATCTTGATAATCTGCTGTAAATAATTATGTGCCATTTTCCACGGTCGGAGCATGTTTCATGAAGTTAAGAGCGAAAACGTGACATAAATGCCGCATTCACATACAAAAACTTCTTTAAGTTTAGTAAAACCCCACAAAAATTATGATTGTACTTGAGTCTACTCCGTGAGAGCTTTCAAATGACATATGACAGATTACAATCTGAGCTGTATGATGTTTTTGACAATATTACAGTACATAGTACAAAAAACAGTATCCATGGTCATCATCAGTGTGAGCTATCAAGTGTAGTTTAATATCTGTATACAGTACATATTTCAGCCTACATAAATTCATCTAACCTGTGTTTGTTGCAGAAGTCTTTAAAAGTGTAACAACAAAGATCTTTCCATCCTTCTCTGCTGATTCTTCTCTCTTTCTAGGGGATCTGGAGAAAGAGAAGAGAAGGCTACAAAATGTTCTTTCTACTGGTAAAAAGGATGCTGGGCCAACTCACTCCCAAAGAGACTCCACAGAAAGAAGAGAGCAACAGATAGACAGATTCCAAGAGGGTGAGACAGGCAGTTGCTGTTCATTTCTCATCTGAGTGATCTGATTTCAATGATACTGATTGTATATTGAATTATTTTTTTATTTTTTTTGTAAAAGAAGTTCTATTTATTTACTTTTTTATTTCAGTTTATTAATCATAATTTAGAGGGCGGCAGGGAGAGTCATGTTTACAGAGACACTTTAATGAACTTGATAAGGAGCTCAGTAGTATACGCATCAACATGAAAACTATAATTTAATGTAATTTCTTACCAACAGTTCTGGATGAGATTGAGGACAGGAGGCAGTTTTTAGAGGAGATGATGACATTGGGAAAAGGTGACCAATACCAGCACCTCATCAACACAGAGATCTCTCAGGTGAGGATACAAACTCATAAGCTCATAACACATAACAGCCAATACTCTCATGCAATGTCACCAGCCATCATCAGTTTTTAAATGCGACTTGACCCACAGTTTCAGTCTAAAAACCTGAGAAATTAGGAAGTTATTTATGAATGTTTTATAGCACCACAGTGAAATGTCCTGTTTTTTTAATCACATTTTTTATGTATCTTTATATTTTTGTGTTTGTTATTAGCTATTTCTTAGTCTTAAACTAAAGCTATTTTGTTCTAAACTCTGGTATTAATTGTATATTTTTCTTCCAGAAAATCTGTGAACTTGAAGAGATTGACAGGAAGCGCAGTGAAGAACTAAGGACCCTCAATTTAAATGGAAAAGAGGAACTACAAAGCAAAGAGAGGGATGGAGAAAGATAAGGTGATAATATAAGGTAGTGTTAGACAAGTATGAGCATTAAAACTTGTTTAAAAAAAATAGCAAAACTGCAAAAGGTTTTTGTTTCATGAAGTCATTTTATTTTTAATGTCCTCCATCCTAAAAGCACTGTCTGTTTTAGGGACAACGAAAAGCCCTTGGGGTTGATCAGGCACACACACTGACATACAAATGTAATACTAAAATCTGATAAATACAAATTAACACTCAAATACTTGCAGAAGACACAAGCTGAAATGTCAACAAAATATTCAAAGACACTTAATAGCCAATGAGAGGACATACATAAATTAAACAGATTAAAGGCACTCCTTCAGAAATACACTCCTGCTTGGGTTTAAGGCCCAACACACAACATGCGACATTCTACAGTGAACATTTTAAAATTATTTAACTAAAGCTTAATATTGCATATTGCTTTAAAGAGTGAGGAACATCTATTATTGTTTAACATTAACATGCCTACAGTTACCGTTTGTGAGAGTTACAGTCTTTTTTGTTTTCATTAAAATAGTTTAGACTTATTTTAATGTTATCTCTCATTTTAACGTTTATCTGTCACCGATGATTCTAGGGTGCAGATTTGTCTGGTAACTCTGTAACAAGCTTAATGACATTTCAGAGGGTTATTAGATACATTTACAAGTTTGATGATTTTGTAACAATTTTCCACTGAAATTGGAAAAAAAAAACTGCTTCTGAATTTCTTCTATGAACTAATTTTCTGTCAGTAAATACTATAACAATTTAGTGTTGTAACAATATCTTTTAACAATCTTCTCAACATTATTTTTTTCAATATTAATCTGTTAAATATTATTCATATTAAATACACTGGTTGACCAAAACATCTAGAATTGGATCATTATTGCAGTGATCAATATATTTCTGGCATGTTATATGTTTGGTAACAATTATTTTATCTCTAACTAATACAGTGTAGCTTTTCATTTCTTAAACAACCAAACATTACAGAAGATCCCATCGCCCCATGGCCATATTCCAGGATGACAATTGCAAGAATTATTAGGCTCAAACTGTGAACGAGTGGTTCAGGGAGCAAGAGGAATAATTTTCACAAATCAATTGGCCACCAGAGTCCTGACCATAACCTCATCGAAAGTCTTTGGGTGGGCTGGAGTAGAGAGTGTTTTGACTGTCAATAGACAATCTCAGCCAAACATTAATGCATCTCTTGATGGAAATAAATGTTGTGATGTTGCAGAAGGTTGTCAAAACAATGCCATGACAAATGTAGGCTGCAATTAAATCTAAAGGCTGTCCCACAAAATACCTTTTTAGCCAATCAGTCTACAAATCAGTATTGATCATACTTTTAAAATTAATGTGTATATAAAAATATTGTCCAGGGAAGGGTTGCACCAGCTGTTCGTAAGTTCTTATTTACATTGGAACATAAATTCCACACTAGAGGCTTAGTTAGTTTAGTTAGTTTGTAACTAATTCTCTACTTTTTGTAATTTTGTTCTGAAAGGAGGAGACAGTAAGTCGTAAGCTGGTCGTAAAGTAATGCATCGTCCCATTATATGAAATTTACCTTCAATGTTCCAATAGTGAATTTCAGTTTATCATATTTAAGTTGATTCTAACTCAATTATTACCTCAATTAACTAATGGTAAAGTAATGTTTCCATTTAAATACAATGTTTAATCACAAAATAACATAAGAATTTTTTACATAAATAATATTATAAATACCATTGTAAATACAAATAACAAATTAATAAGAAGCAATACATAAATACTAATGCAAAAAAACTAAAAACAAACAAATTACATTTATTTTGGCACAGAGCGATACACACAGAGGTGCACTTTTCAGATCAGGTTCATGTTGTAGAGATCCAAGTAATTTTTTCACAATGTTCTCTTTCTTAAAGTCATCAAGTTAATTGATGCAATTCAATCAATCTGCTATTTTCTTCCAATCGTTACTCCTATTCGGAGGCTTTTGTAATTTTTTAGTGTACTAAAGATCAGGGGTGCGGCCAGGGATTTTGGGCCCCATGAAAAAATATGAGGTAAGGCCCCTACTACTGCACCCGTTCAATTAATAAAATCAATCTCTGGGGCCCCTAAAAGTGTGTGGGCTCTTAGAATCGTCCTAACTTTTCCCCGCTTTGCGGCGCCCCTGCTAAAGATTAAAATATGTAGTTACATTTTATGGTGCAATGCTCAAATATTTAATACTGCGCAAATTGTAATTTAATGCCTATTTGCAACTAGGCTTTTTTTTTATTAAACACAGCTGGTGCAACCGGACACAGGCAGATAAAATCTGATATGCATCTATAATCATCCTTCTGAATCCCATACAAATAATCTCGACATAATATCATTTTCCCCAGCACTAATATAAACTGCAAGCTTAATAATTTCTGCTTTCATCTCAGCAAGACTTCTATAATTACTTATGAAAGGGCTGGATGGGGCCTGTAAAGTTTCTACAAATGTCAAACTACAAATAGTTTCTTTCACTCTTCATTGTGGAGAGAAATACAAGTAGCAGTACCTCTATGCAAAATATAAATATATAAAAACTCAGAGAATCAGATTAAATTAGGATTAAAAACTGTTGAGCTTCCTCTGACTGTTAAAATGAGTTTAAAAGAAGGATGTGTGTGAAACTTTCCCAGGGTTATTTTGGACTCAATATCATCTCAATCACATGTCAATCACAATCAGTATCAGCTTTCTGTAACTTCAAATTGTACAGATTATAGTAAGATTATATAGTGGCTGAGCCTTTCTAGAGATAGTCATAAAAAGTTTGATCAAGACTGTGTTCAGTTTTGACTGTTATATACCGCAGTAGTGTAGTATATCAGCTGCTACTACCTTAAATTTAACTGGCTCTGTTTTATAGCAATGCAATCAAAAGCAATAATTAGACATACGTAAATATTTTAGATACTTTTTTCTCTCTCTCTCTCTCTCTCTCTCTCTCTCTCTCTCTCTCTCTCTCTCTCTCTCTCTCTCTCTCTCTCTCTCTCTCTCTCTCTCTCTCTCTCTCTCTCTCTCTCTCTCTCTCTCTCTCTCTCTCTCTCTCTCTCTCTCTCTCTCCCTCAGTCAGTCCATTCTTCAACTGTTCTCTTTTCGGGGACTGTTGTCCTTTACTCCTTCATTCTTGGTGCTCAGTCTCTTCAAAACCTTCATGGGCTTAAATTTCCCTGCTTTCTTCTTCTGCTCACCGTGTCCATGAAAATCTGACAAAAAAAAAGAAAAGAAATAGAAGAATCAATGCAGGATGTGGTGTAAAGTAAGTCAGAGAAAAGTGAAATAACACTGACCTTTTTTCTTCAGCATAGCAGCTACTAGTTTGTCTTCCTCCTCCTCCCTAAATAAGAAATTACAAACTCCTCAAAACAGCATGCAAACTTGATACAAATAACAAAATAACCTTCTATTTCATATCAAATTTACAGAAAAAACAACTAAGAAAAAAAATAGCACAGATACTTAAGCTTGCATGTGCATGTGCATTGACCGATTACCTCTGTCTGTCCATATCTATGCTGTTAACAATCTGGTTCCTCTGCTCAATTATAGTGACAAGTTCTGCCATCAATTGCTTTTCCCTGTCTTTGTCTTCTGCCGCCCATTCTTTCTCTATCAGAGACATAAGCAGATGGGAGAGAGATAAAGGAGGGATAGAATAAAGAATGCAGTTATTAGGAGAAAGGAGGAGGGTTTGCTCACAAGAAATGGTCAATCAGTAAATTCTCACTGTTTTTGTGTTGTTTCATACCTGGCTTGTTAAGTAAACATCTAAGCTCATATTCCACATCGGCCTGCCTTTCCTCCAGGTTCTGCTGCTTAGCTCTGAAATCCAGACAGTGATCAGACACAGATTTATTCTTCTTTCATATTTAACTTTAACCCAACCTCCATCTCCAAGGTGTTGCATATATTATTATTATATTGACAGCTCTATGGACAGGAACTTTGAGAACCTGGTTCTTAAACTGTGGGTTACAATATGGCACCAATGTGGCAGTGTTAAAATGATACATTTTAAAAATTAATTAAACATGTACATAAAATGTGAATGTCAAGGTTAAAGGACAAGTTAGGTATTTTACACTTAAAGCCCTGTTTTAAGATCGTTTCTGATGAAATCGAACGGTTAAGATTAAAATTTGGACACATGCTGCTGGCCCGAGAATTTTCGGTTTCTGTGGTTGCACCCCCCCTCCTCCACAATGGTTGCATAGGTGCACTGGAACAATCCTTCCTAAAACGCTTTGAACACCCCTGACCACTCGGTGAGTTTAACATAGTGATGCACCGATGTGAAAATTGTGGCCGATACCGATAACCGATATTAATATTGCTGTTATGGCCTGCGATTATTGGTAAAAAATGACATTGCGATATTTTATTTTTCTGCGATATATATTGCGATATAAAAACAATTTCACCAGATGACTTGAATAGCTCTATTTGGAAAGAATGAATCATTCTAGAATGACTGGGGTGGTTTTGTCATGGAGTAAATCTGCATAGAAACTAATATTAAAGCTGCCGTCGGCAACATTTTTTTGATCATATTCAGTGAAATCGACACTATAATCTGACAGAACAACATAAATAAAGTGGTTTTAGAAAAAACCCCCCGAGCTTCTAACTCCACCTGGAGCTTGTTATTTGTTTTGCAAAAATCCACAGCTCCCGGTTCATCATGTCCAATCAGCGCAGGGGGGTGTGAGACAGGGCTGTCACTTTTTATTCGATATTCGAATATGCATTCGAACATGACGTGAAATATCCGTAATCGAACTATAAATAAACTAACCGGTTTTTAAAATGCCATGTTTAGCGCGTCTATGATTTAGACCGTTTTTTATTTTTTTTTATTGTTTGCCATCTCATCCAGTAGCTGGCACTCTAAACGTATTGTAGCGTAAGCTCATGACCAAATCAAGCGAATAATAGCCAATAGCCACCCTGTTTTGAAAATGGAAGATATAACGCGCAGAACGGCCAGCCTGAGCGGACAATTTCTACCCCAACTCATCTAAAAAGTAGTGTCTGGAAATGGACAATCGATTGATGAATCCGAACACGGTGTTTACATGAACGATACATAAAGTAATGTGCGCGTTATATGTCACAAGATTCAAATCGGAATTGATTTTTTGACATGCGCACACTGCACGAATATGCCTCTGTTCGCGCATAACTATTCTCCTCTATTGGTTCTTTATTTGTTTTAAACAGCAGACTTAATATATATCCGTCTCTGGTCATGATTTGGAGACGATGAGCATGATTTGCCGTGCTGCTTGTTGATCACGCAGTAAAACCCCGCGCCCAAAACCAGTCGTCTGTGGATGAGAATCTGAAACAAGCACTGGTGGGACGTTGTCCTGCTTAACTTCACAGTGAAATGAGATTTTTTAAATAACGGAACACTCATTTGTATGACACTTTATTCAACAGAAAGAACAGCTCGCTCCGTGCGTAATACGTCATTGCACATGCGCAGTCCTTTTAGTTTCGATTTTCAATCCGATCAAGTGTTTACATGTTCTCTCGATCGGATTACAAAAGGAGTAAACCATCGGATCGATTAAGGTGTTTACATGAAGGTTTTTGAGCCGTCAATCCGATTATAGGGGTCCATGCAAAGACGCGCAAATGTGTGCCAGGCACGTGTGCGCGCTCCGAGCGCGTGTTCTCCACCGCGGAGAACATCGTCAATAAAAGGAGAGCCGCACTTGATCCAGATCAAGTTGATAAATTGGTGTTTCTAGCAAACAATATTAGGAAATGAATTTGGCTAGGCTATATAGGCCTTACTCCTGCTGCTGTTTAAGTTGTCACGTTATTGTTTGTGCCGTGCTGTTCCGCTTCAGTTTTTCCCCATGTAGCGCCTAATTTTGTGATTGGCTATGCATACTGGCACTTCATATAGATTAAGTTGAAAACCTGCTGTTTAAAACATGAAGTCAAAAAAAAAATGACTGTCAGACTGTTAATAAATGTGTGATCTCCGTTACGGTGTTTTTTATTTTTTTTTGGTGGGTGGGCGGGGCTCGTAGATATTCGAATATATTCGAATACATTGCTTGATATTCGATATCCGTTCGAATTTGATTTTTCTCAAAAGTGACAGCCCTAGTGTGAGATCTGACTGTCAATCACAGATCGGGCACACGCCACCCCTCGCGCACGTTACAATCACATGCACACGCCTGAAGTTCGCGGAAGTTCGCGCAGTAACGAAGAGTGATGGCGGAAAATCAAGTAAGCTCATTTAGAGTATAAATGACGTTAGCAATTGCAATCTAACGGTAGATTAGCCAGGACAGCATACCTCCAAATACTCCATGGTGTTGGGATGCTGATGAGACGGGCGCGTTCCAGGGCTCTCAAGTTTTGAAGACAGGTAAGAGTGACACCCAGCCGACGGGGGGATGGATACATTTTTGTCATTGGTTGTTGCGTTAAATCTTACCCAGATACAATAGTGCTATTTTCTGATTGGCTATTGTGTAGCTCGACGAACAACACCAGAGGAAACGCGCTTGATTCATGCCGGTTCCACAGTGAGAGCGGCGCGGCCAGAGTTTTGGGCGGTGCGGCATATTAAATATATTACAAATAGTTTTTCAGCGTGAGAAATACAATGTGTGGCGGGAGAGCGTGACAAAAGACCGAAATGAGTGACTGTCACGCTCAATGCGTGACACTTGAGAGCCCTGGCGTTCACTGAAAATCTGGTGCACACGCACTGACGAGCATGAACTGGGTGGGAGGGTATCCGTTGATAGTGGGGGAGGGGCATGAGAGTTGTAAACATTCAAAATTTTCCTAAATCCACTCAATCTGCCAGACTTGCCGACTGCAGCTTTAATAGAATGTTAACTAATGTAGTTAACTAGACTTTAATAAATGGAACCTTATTGTAAAGTGTTTTTCCGATTTATGTCTCTTGAGTTCAGTGTTGGACCGATCAGTTGTTTTAACCATTCATTAAAGTGAATCGGTTCAAAGGTTAGTTCGCGAATCGGACGTGTCATTAACGGACCACGGCACACGTTGTGTGATTATCCAGGCAGTTTAGGACATCGCACAAGATTTGTCTCAACCAAGCGGCAACATTCTAATCTGAAAAATGAAGCCTACCCGGAAGTGCGAAAAACTGCAATACATCAAAAATCCGCTAGAGGGAGGTCCCAAAAGGGAGCAAATATCCATAGACCCCATGTTAAAAATGTCCGTTTTCACAGCATAAATTCATGTTTTTACAGGTATTTTTATTGTATTTTTCGATAGGTTACGAGTGCCTGACAACTGTGAGGGGGGTGAATTTTTTTCTAACTCGTTAGTTTAGATCGTATTTAGATATAAAATGTATGACAAATAAGGGCGTGGTTAACTTTGATTGACAGCTTGATTGACAGCTGATAACGGGCTGCGCCGAGTGGAATTCCTGAAATTTGACGTCTCGGCCATGACCTGACACAACACATCACATCATACCACCTCTGTATCCTTTCTGAACATTTGTATTGAAATATCGTACATAAAATGGGTTGCTCTGCTATAAACTGCACTAACCGACACTGTAGGAGTACTTCGCTCCATTTTTTCCGGTAAGTGACATTCCACTACTATTTCACGTAGGCAGTGGCACTGCAAGTTAGCATTAAATCGCCTCAGATAAGTTAGCGTCCGAGGTAGGGACAGGTGGGGTTTTGGGGGGCTAATACAATGCTAAATCATAAATCAGATGTACCTAACATACCGATGTCCAGCAATCGATTTAAATAGTACATTGTGTTTAATTTGTCGTTTAATGAGATCTAATATGTCGTTGTTGGTGAGAATTTTCACGTGAACAAATACATAAATCCGACAATTACATGCATGCACTTTAATGGTCCAGTGGCAGAACATTTGCCAAGCGTGTCAGAGGTTCTGGGTTCTAATCCGCACTCGTATAGTTTTTTGTTTTTTTTCTCTCTCATTAAAACCGATTATGTTTATGAGTGGTTGTATATCAAGCAGGGACACGTTTGTGTGCATTTTACTTTGTGATTTCACCGGAACGAATAGAGAGTCTCCGCAACGGATTAAAGTGCGCGTCCAAGTTCAAAACCGGTGGGGACAATATCGACCCTGGCAAAAAGTGGTGGGGACATGTCCCACCCGCAAATTACGTCTATGCCTATGGTTATAACCGGTTATAACTGACGTTTGAAATACTGTAAATGCGTCTGCCAAATGAATAAATGTAACATAAGAATAGACTGATATGTGCCACATTGGAGTGTTCTTCAGCAGCTTTGCAGTGAATGTAGTAGGCAGCCATAGACTGTAAAAAGTAGCCTAGTCTGCCAATCGATCTTGTAACGTTACAAATAGCTGAGGCTGCTTGGCTGAAGAGGCGCGTCCACCGGCCGGCTCAGTCTCACACAAAGCCCGCCCCTTTACCCATATATGGATTGGCCAGAAGGTGGGTGGGGTTAGGATTTCCCAATATTTTCAAAAGATGGCGCCGCCCATAAACGGCCTCAAAACCGTTATTCAGAAAGTCTATGGGTGACGTCACACACGCTTTGTCTTTTTTTTGTTTATTGAAAGTGTGGTTTATGTCATCTGTGGAAAGCTTTTCAGAGAAGATAAGGCAACGTTATTTTAGCACAATTCACAACCAGTGGTAGTTCAGAAAAAAAAAAGGGGTGGGTGTCAGGGGTGTTCAATGCGTTTTAGGAAGGATTGTTCCAGTGCACCTATGCAACCATTGTGGAGGAGGGGGGGTGCAACAACAGAAACCGAAAATTCTCAGGCCAGCAGCATGTCCAAATTTTAATCTTAACCGTTCTATTTCATCAGAAACGATCTTAAAACAGGGCTTTAAGTGTAAAATACCTAACTTGTCCTTTAAAATTATGGTGTGCATAAAAATGGGAAACATTTATAGAATAAAATCAGATTAAATTTCAGTGCTATCCTGCATTCTAATGTCTGTTGTTGGAGATTATTTTGCATCATACATAAGGGTGGCAACACACTGAAAACGTTTAAACGTTAAACGTTTATTAATATAGCGTGTTGTTATTGATGTTGCAGCAGACTAAATGAATGCCAATAGTGCACTTACGTGTAGACCAGCTCAGCCTCTCTCCGTACCAGTAGGTGTTTTTCATGAATTAGAGTAAACCAGTCAACAAGTAGATGTTCCTCCTCATCGTCTAAAATGACAAAACAACAGAAAATAAAATTAAAAATGGAGCCAGAAATGGGACAATTTGCATAGACCAGAGTGTATTTTAATGAAGATTAGCACAAGTTTGGAGTTCTTAGTCTGGGGCTCAGTCTCAGGATGATTAGCTTCTATAAGCCACATGAACTGTCTGCTTCTCTGTTTAGATGATCTACAGGTAAGAAACCTTAGATAGCCTGGCTGAGTGCAGTTACAGTTCACAATATGTAAGATGGTAACGAGTGCACAGACAAAGAATTCAATAAAATGCCATTGATTAATTACTTTAAGTCAACTCTCTCAACTCGCAGATGTATCGCAAATATAGGAAGATTCGCCCTCAACTCGCAGATGTATCGCAAATATAGGAAGATTCGGCGTTATAAGCATGTCTTAGTTATAAGCGAGCCAAACTCTTAGCGTGGAACACTACACAAACTCCACTGAGGACCAAGGGGACACTGGATAGCATTCTGCAGCATGTGGTTCTCTTACCATTTGAACATTCTCGTAAGCTCTTCTCCAGATCCACCCCTCTCCGCTCCAGTTCATCCAACCGTTTCTCCAGGTCACTCATTTCAACATGGATGTCTTCTACTGGGATATACTCGTCTGACTGAACCTACCAAATACGATGACAGGACAAGTATTTATAAATTATATATGCCACAGTTATAGTTCCTTTCTTAAAATAGTCAAAACAAAAGGATGTCTCTTGTGCCTCACTTTGCGTTTAATGAGAGGAAATCCATGTCCAGGAGCAGGAGGTCGTGCAGGACGGGGCCCTTTTGGGGGTCTGGATACAAAAGAGCTGACAGAAGTGGTCGTCTTCCGATTAAATGGATTCTCTTTACAAGTGCGCTGAAGATGACAGTGATGAGAGACAATGAAACAAAGATATCGAACAAAGAAATTAAGTAAGGAAAGCTCCTGGATTCAAGAGAATTTCAAAGATGTGAAAACTTGTAATGAAATCTGACACACACCCTTGTTTTCTCCAATGCCCCATTACTTATCAATGAAATATTTTTTACATTAAAAAGCGGTTACATTTTTCAGCTAATTTTAAAGCAGTTAAAAAGTGTCATTACTGGCCAACACTTTAGCGAGTCACAACAAAAAAGGTAAATTACACTTCCTCTCTGTATAAACATAAACTGCATAAAAACATCCCATTTTAGCAAAATGTGTACTTTAGTCCAAATTGTGCTCCTGACAGTTCTACTGTGCTCCGTCTATTTGACCCCCATGATGCTCATTCATTGAAGTCTGTGAAGTTTAACAAAACGCTTGTTGTCAATATGCAAAAATGGAAATACTCGCGGGACTTTCTAACATTTACAGACAAAATGTAAGTTATGCCAGAGGAAAACACGTGTCAAAATAGACAGTTAATTTAAACAACTGTATTCCGTGATCAAGTACGCTATGCTATGTTTTGTTTCAAAAACATAAAAATGTCTCGAATGATTCAAAACTTTTGAACAGCAGTGTACGTCTTGACAGTAAATCTAACCTTGCCTGGAGTGCTGGGTGTCTGTGGAGAGGGTGAAAGTTTTAACCCTGCAGAGGGGCGGGATGGAGGTGGTCTCATACTGCGACTGGTTTGTGGGGTGGCGGGTGCTGAGCTGGTATTGGTAGGTGGTGGTGGTGGTGGAGGAGAAAGGTTTGGAGAACAGTGAGGCTGAAGCTCAGTTGTTGGGGTCAGGGCAGAAGTAGGAGTGTTGATTGATGGTTCAGATACACTCTTGGTGAACACATGATCCTGTTGGTTAGCAGCAGGTTGCTGGGGGACAGCACTGTAGTCTGAGGAAGAGGAGGAAAGGCTCTCTGTGCTCGGAGCTAGAGAAGAAGCAGGAGAGGAAGTCTGAGATGAAGGAAAAGCTAAAGAACAGCAGGAAAGAGACAACCCAGAAAAATAAATATATGACAGAAAATACAGATGTGAGTAGTTAGACAACTACAATATCCTGTAACACAGTGGTTCTCAAATAGGGGCCAGAGCTCACAAAGGTCCTCAGTAAACTGGACAGACTTACAAGTATTTTAAATTAATAATTAGTAGTATATTACAATATTCTAACTCTAAATGTAAATGCTATATTTCTGTGGGCTGCAATATAACACTAGTGTGACTTGCATGAATACTGCATTAAAATTTTTCCTATTTTTATCACAAGTTGTTGTTTCAGTTGTTTCAAACTTGTATGAATTTCTTTCTTCTGCTGAAAATAAAAGAAGATATATTTGAAGAATATGGCTAACCAAATAGTAGATGGGACCCATTGACTTCCATAGTATTTTTCCCCCATACTATGGAAGTCAATGGGTCCCATCTAGCCATATTCTTCAAATATATCTTCTTTTATTTTCAGCAGAAAAAAGAAATTCATACAAGTTTGAAACAACTTGAGGGTGAGTTGATGAGTAAATGATGGCAGAATTTTAATTTTTGGGTGACTTATGCCTTTAATATATATATATATATATATATATATATATATATATATATATATATATATATATATATATATATATATATATATATATAATTTTTTTTAAACAAGCAGCTTTGTCATACTTAAAGCAGAAATAGCATAAGCCTATTTTTGGGACTATGAGGAACCACTGTCGTAACATCACCTGACTATAACAAGCATGGCAAAGTGTTTAGTTTAGTAGACATTGATACAATTAAAATGCAGTCTTCCCCGTAAAGCAAAATGTATGGTGTCAGAAACTGTAAACAACTAACCTGATGTAGAAGATTTTGGAGCTCTGGGTGCTGGTCGCTTCTTTCTTCTGACACTTACGGGACTTTCTGAAGGGGCAGGACTTTGTCTTTTTGTGTCCCCACCTGCGGCTTCAGCAGCCTGAGTGATCCCATACCAGGGATGACTAGCCACTACAGGACCAGGGGGATCTTCAGGATCCGTTTCTGGCTCCTCTTCCTTCTCATTATCAAAGGGATTTGGAGGAGTGGATGGTCTGGATCCCTCCTCCTTTCGAGACGGAGATGAACCAGTGCAGGGAGGTAGGGCTATACCTCTGGGTGGGCGAGGTGCTGGTTTCTTCTTTGTTTCTGATTGCACCAGTGCCAGCCAGGGTGGGTTTTTTGGTTTAGGAGTGTCACTTGCCTTGCTTGAGCTGGGAAAGGAATGCATTACAACCACTGAATGAAAATCACTCAGGATATCAGAAAGTTCTTTTAATGTTTCTGACAGAAGACTCTAATGCTCAGCAATGCTGCATTTATTTGATCAAACAAACAGTAAAAACAGTAATATTGTGAAATATTAAAATTTAAAATAAGTATTTATTTGAGTAGTTTTAATATATTTTAAAATATAATTCATTCCTGTGATGGCAAAGCTGAATTTTTTAACATCATTACTCCAGTCTTCAGTGTTACATGATCCTTCAGAAATTATTCTAATACACTGATTTAGTGCTCAAGGAACATTTCTTATTAATATCAATGTTGAAAACATTGCTACTTAACATTTTTGTGGAAACTGTGATGCACTGCCATTCAAAATTGTAAAGATAAGTACGATTTAAAATAAAAAGAAAGAAATTAATACTTTTATTCAGCAAGGATGCATTACATTGATCAAATGTGACAGTAAAGACATTTACATGATTTCTATTTAAAATATGTGATTGAGCCCCAAGCGGTCACAAGGAGAATCACACCAGGCATCCATTTAAAGGTTGTTCCAAAAGAAGAAAGTGCAAAAGGTCCATGCAACAGTGGATAAGAGCAAAAATAAAAACAAAGGTTACAAAAACAGTCTAAAAGCTAGC